AGTAGTTCGATGGAGAATTAAATTCCCCATCAATCGATCCCCGTTGCATCCTTTCATCTCCGTAAAAAAAAAATACAAACTACGGCAAATGTCATGGGCCAGTGAGAAAAATTATAGTTTCGCGGCGCAGTGACTTCCGGTAATTAAAAATTCACCTCTCCCGTCCTAATTGAGATAAAGGGATGAAAAAGGGCAGTTCGACGGAGAATTAAATTCCCCATCAAATAACCCTCTTTTATCCCTTAATCTCAATTAGAAAGGGAGAAGTGAATTTTTAATTCGCGGGCGAATGGTGAAAAGTCAGTGTGCGCCGCGAACAAAGTATTTTTTTTACTGGCCCTTGACTTTCATGGCAGTTTTTATTTTTTTGTTACAAAGATTAAAGGATAAAAGACGGTTAATTAATGGAGAATTTAATTCTCCGTCGAACTGCCGTTTTTTCATCCCTTAGTCTCAATTAGGAGGGGAGAGGTGAATTTTTAATTACCGGGCGTCACTGTGCGCCGCGAAACTATTATTTTTCTCACTGGCCCATGACTTTCATGGCAGTTTTTATTTTTTTGTTACAGAGATTAAGGGATGAAAGAGGGTTAATTGATGGGGAATTTAATTCTCCGTCGAACTGCCGTTTTTTCATCCCTTAATCTCAATTAGGAGGGGAGAGGTGAATTTTTAATTCGCGGGCGAATGGTGAAAAGTCAGTGTGCGCCGCGAACAAAGTATTTTTTTTACTGGCCCTTGACTTTCATGGCAGTTTTTATTTTTTTGTTACAGAGATTAAGGGATGAAAGAGGGTTAATTGATGGGGAATTTAATTCTCCGTCGAATTGCCCTTTTTTCATCCCTTAATCTCAATTAGGAGGGGAGAGGTGAATTTTTAATTCGCGGGCGAATGGTGAAAAGTCAGTGTGCGCCGCGAAAGAATTATTTTTCTTACTGGCCCCTGAGTTTCATGGCAGTTTATATTTTTTTGTTACAGATATTAAGGGATGAAAGAGGGTTTATTGGTGAGGAATTTCATTCTCCGTCGAACTGCCGTTTTTTCATCCCTTAATCTCAATTAGGAGGGGAGAGGTGAATTTTTAATTACCGGGAGTCACTGTGCGCCGCGAAACTATTATTTTTCTCACTGGCCCATGACTTTCATGGCAGTTTTTATTTTTTTGTTACAGAGATTAAGGGATGAAAGAGGGTTAATTGATGGGGAATTTAATTCTCCGTCGAATTGCCCTTTTTTCATCCCTTAATCTCAATTAGGAGGGGAGAGGTGAATTTTTAATTCGCGGGCGAATGGTGAAAAGTCAGTGTGCGCCGCGAAAGAATTATTTTTCTTACTGGCCCCTGAGTTTCATGGCAGTTTATATTTTTTTGTTACAGAGATTAAGGGATGAAAGAGGGTTTATTGGTGAGGAATTTAATTCTCCGTCGAACTGCCGTTTTTTCATCCCTTAATCTCAATTAGGAGGGGAGAGGTGAATTTTTAATTACCGGGAGTCACTGTGCGCCGCGAACAAAGTATTTTTTTTACTGGCCCTTGACTTTCATGGCAGTTTTTATTTTTTTGGTACAGAGATTAAGGGATGAAAGAGGGTTAATTGATGGGGAATTTAATTCTCCGTCGAATTGCCCTTTTTTCATCCCTTAATCTCAATTAGGAGGGGAGAGGTGAATTTTTAATTACCGGGAGTCACTGTGCGCCGCGGAACTATTATTTTTCTCACTGGCCTATGATTTTAATGGCAGTTTATATTTTTTTGCAACAGAGATTGAGGGATGAAAGAGCGTTAATTGATGGGAAATGTAATTCTCCGTCGAACTGCCATTTTTTCATCCCTTAATCTCAATTAGGAGGGGAGAGGTGAATTTTTAATT